ATGCAGTTCTGTCACCTTCCTTCCCAGCGTGGTAACTGAGTTAACTGAATACAATTGTCAGAGTGTGTCACACTCTGTTTCCAAGAGTTTTCAACACGCAGGGGGCACGGAAACTGATTCCCATCCGTGCCAATGAAGCTACAGAAATCAGTTGGAGGAGAGTTGGGACGCCAACTCTTGTACCTGCGATGGATTGAACTTTTGAACAAGCTGTGACACCACTTTCCACGTTTTGTTTCATGGTTCTTTCACGATACTTTTCCCCAAAACAGGTTTCCCAACGCCGCGTTCAGCCGCTCGTGAGTTGCCGACGCTGAGACTCTGCAGATGTGCACAAACCTTTGTTCAACATTCAGTTGATCGCGGACTTTTGCCACCTTTCCGTTCCATCACCATTTCCGACCTGGGAATTGAGTTAACTGCAAACCCATATCAAAGTGTGCGCCGCTGTGCCGTCCCACGTGGTTGCACAGTGTGATCCCCGTCACTGGGGCGCTGTTTTCATGCCGGACTACCACTAACTGACTTTACCGCGTTCTGCACTCGTTGGATTATCTTAACGGATTTTCGGTTCACTATTGTATTATCAAAACCAAAGCCGCCGGGCTTCACGGAAATTCAAAGCCGCCGGGCTTACGGAGACTAAACTTAAGACATCGCAGTGCCCAGACAGGGCTGAAATCATTGAAAAAATAAAAAATAACAAAAACTAAACAAAAAATAATCAACTCTAGAACTCAAATCCAAAACAGACTCAACAGCAAAACTCAAAACAAACTCAAACAAAACTCAAGACAAACTCAAGAAACACTCAAAACAAACTCAAGAAGAACTCAACTCAAACACCAACTTGAGTCTAATTTGAGTCCAATTTGAGTCTGATTTGAGTTTGTCCTTCCAAAAACTCAAAAAATACTCAAAAACACTCAAATCAGACTCAGATTAGACTCAAACCAAACTCAAACCAGACTCAAGCCAAATGCTATTTACATATATTTACATTGTCTTGCGTTTTTCTTTGAGTTATTCCTGGGTCTAATCTGAGTATAATTTGAGTCTCTCATTTGAGTGGCTTTGGAGTCTGAGTTTCTGGTCTGATTTTTTTTGAGTAGGTTGCTGTTTATTTTTTCATCTTGACCCCTTGCTCTCTGGGTCCGCGTTTTCTTAAGACTAAACCCAAACGCGTTCTCTACCCACACACCCCAACCCCCCCCCTCCCTCTAATTAGGGTAACAGAGGGAAATGGTACTCGACACACTTGTGTGTCGGTGCCTTTCCCTCTGTTGTCCCTTTCTAGTCTACTCTACCCGGGCGGTGTAAGACTAAAGTCCCGCTCCCTAACTATTGAACCTAATTCACTTCTGCTAAGTAGTCAGCAACTCAAAAGTGCTAGGTAGTCATACACACACACACGGACACACACATATTACATACATCCCCTCCCTGCCCCCCACTTTCTTTCTTGCGCTTTTCGTCGTTTGTTCTTTTGGGCTTTCCCTCAGGCTTTTTAAGTAATTCTTGAGGCGCTTTTCCCTACCCCAGTCAAGGGCTAAGTATTCACGTTTCGCTACTCCTATCTTTCTCTCCTGCCCTTTTAGCGCTGCTCTTTCTGTTTTTCTTTCTTTTCTAAGGCCTTTACGCCGGAGCCTATATAGGTGCCTATTTAGGCTTTTACGCCGGAGCGACGCAAAGCGGCTGAGTGTGTGTGTGTGTGTGTGTCACACTCTGTTTCCAAGAGTTTTCAGCACGCAGGGGGCACGGAAACTGATTTCCCATCCGTGCCAACGAAGCTACAGAAATCAGTTGGAGGAGAGTTGGGACGCCAACTCTTTTACCTGCGATGGATGGATTTTTTGAACAAGCTGTGACACCACTTTCCACGTTTTGTTTCATGGTTCTTTCACGATACTTTTCCCCAAAACAGGTTTCCCACCGCCGCGTTCAGCCGCTCGTGAGTTGCCGCCGCTGAGACTCTGCAGATGTGCGCAAACATTTGTTCAACATTCAGTTGATCGCGGACTTTTGCCACCTTTCCGTTCCATCACCATTTTCGACCTGGGAATTGAGTTAACTGCAAACCCATTATCAAAGTGCGTGGATGATTCGCCGGACACCAAGTTCACGTTCGCAAATGAAAGGAACATGGATCTGGGTAGCTATGCTGTTCAAGATCAAATGGAACCAAAGAACGTGCCTGTCATTTCATTGCATTACACTGTGATATATGTTGTACACTAAGTCTTGGTCAGGGACACTTTATCTGATGATTCTGATGGACGCATGATATATACTGGCCTGAAAGCCTTATGAGTATGATAATCCTCCTTTGTACTGCCCAAATTAAATCCTGGGGGTGCACCACGCTTTTGAAATGTCGAAATGGAACAAACAATCCTGACTTGGCCTCTAAGTTGGAGAGGGCGGGGTTGGGGGCTAGGATAATTTATATTGAATAACAGTTGTTTTTTTGGGGGGGTGCCAAGGGACAGGAAACAATGTAATTGTTAAAACATTGTTTCTCCATGTTCCTGGAGGTAGGGGGTCCGGAAAAAATCCTGAGTGAATACATGACCCAAAACCATTCTTATTTGTTTGAAGTGATCACCATAACCCTTTTATTCCCTCAATATTTATCTAACATGGGAGACGTTGAGAAGATTGTGAACCTTGTGGGACTAAGGACTGACCAAGAAGAAGAAGAATTAAACAAAAAAGAAGAGAGAGGGAAAGGAGAAGAGGGAAACACGAATCAGCACACTACCGACCATGTGCTCTCACCAGTTGTTTGCCTCCCTGGATTTTTGCAAAAATATGAAAATGATAACAAAAAAAAATTATGTCCTTGAGTGTTGACCATATGAGGTTGCATTACCATCATTACCCATATTCAAAGCTGACAGTTGAGGACAAAGATGCCACACCATTCCAACCCACACCCAGACTCATCCCCAAAGACTGGACTCACACCACAAAATCTGAAAATCCAAGCTGAAACTACGTTTGTCATTTTTGGCCATTAGGGCTGACCAAGTCCAATGACATTCACCATCTGCAAGGATGGTGCATCACCCCACACCCAGATTTAGATCCAAAGACCCGACTCACATCATAATTGGTGAAAAACTGATGTGACTGAAACGTTGTTGTTTGGGGCAGACCACTTTCACTGAAATATACTGAGTTATGTTTGTTCCAGGGTGGCTCCTCTGGAAAATATCACCACTATTCCATACACAACCCCCGCATTCAGACTCATCCCCAAAGACTCGACTCACACCACAAAGTCAGAAAATCCAAGGTGAAACTATTTTTGTCCATTAGGGCTGACCAAGTCCAGTGACATTCACTTTGTGCAAGGATGACACCTCTGGGCAAAAGTCCGCACCATTCCAAATGCAACCACCCCACACCCAGACTAAGCCCCAAAGATCTCCAAAGCTGTACTCACACCACAAAATCAGGAAATCTGCAGTGAAGCTATTTTTGTTCATTAGGGCTGACCTTGTCCAATGACATTTACCTTCTGCAAGGATTGCACATCTGGCCAAAATCCACACCATTCCACATGCAACCACCCCACACCCAGATTTAGATCCAAAGACTCGACTCACATCACAATTGGTGAACAACTGATGTGACAGAAATTTTGTGCTTTGGGGCAGACCATTTTCACTGAAACATATATACTGAAATATGTTTGTTCCAGGGTGATTCCTCTGGAAAATAATCTCCACTATGCCATACACAACCCCCCCCATCCAGACTCACACCACAAAGTCAGAAAATCTAAGGTGAAACAATGTTGATCCATGTTCTAGGGCTCACCCAGTCCAATGACATGAGCTTTGTGCAAAGATGACCTATGGACAAAAATCCACACTGCTAGGGGTAGGCTTGTGATGAATGCCTGCAGTGCCCCCGCAAAAAGGGTCACATGTTGTTTTTGAAAACAATAAGGATACCATTTCTTAGTGGGTTTTCGTGCCACAGTTGCTTCACGCAGCGTTCCGCATCAGTTCACCGTCTCTTCTTGTCACTGCATGTGGAAGTTGTTTTTGAGGTGGGGGGGGTTAGGGACAGAAAAAAACATGTCACTGTTAAAACATTGTTTCTCCATGTTCCTGGAGGTAGGGGGTTAGGATTTAATTTACAGGTCATTGCACTCTCTCCTGTATCTGCTTGGTCTACTGTGTGGTGATGTTCAGGGGTTAGCCACACTGGATAAACATTCCCACTCAGAAATTATTTCCAGTGTGAGGGCTCCCCCTTGCAGTTCACAGGGGGATTATGATACATTCAAGCGGGCTTAGGCATTTGAGACCTTCCTTCCAACCACGGAAACAAATCTTGCAAATCTCATGCAATGGACCACAGATATTGTGATTTATATCAGAACATGTCAAGACACGTCAAGACACGTAAACGGTATTTTTTCTGCAGTATATACCCCTCAAGGCTCTTGGGATTGACTTCGGATTGCTTCACCAAGCCAAGAAGTATAAGAAATCGGTCCTGTGGGGTATAAACCCATAGATGATGCACATAATATCACCTATCTACATCTATATACATGATTATAGACAATGTGTAACGTCGTGCTTGCTTGAACGGGGTGATGTGAGTTCCTCGCCTTGGTAGGTGGCTCTCGCCATGGCCCAGCAGAAAGTTCGCTTGAACCCAGAGGATGCAGGATGGTTCGTCTGAAAAGAGAGCGCCGTCGATGGGAGCTTCATCGGTGGGAGGATGCGGTGGAGACCGAAGTGTTCATTGACCGGAACAGGGTTGAGACCAGTGGGTGGTGGGTGGCCTACTTTGTCTACTGAAGTAGGGCGATTCATTTTTCAGATTTCAATCGGGGCTGGACTTTTCATTTGAGACCAACCCAAAGTTGACAGGCAAGTTGAAGTGAAAAGATCAACATCAACATCAGCAAGCTTGCGTGGGATTGGGGTCTGGATGAATCTGATCACCACTAACATACACTGTTCCACGGGTTGCTGGCATGCAGTCAATGGATTGAAATTTGATGAAATTGCAATTGGATTGATGATGATTGATATCTTTACGGCGTGGAAAGAACCTAAAGCCTGAAGTCTGATGCAAACAGCAGATTCTGCACTCATCAGGACTGCTGCGAGAAGTGCTTGGGGACAGCTTTGAGGCAGGAGTCAATAGCAATGTGGCTCTGCAACAGCCTCGGTTTAGATATGCTTTGAGGCGTTCTGGCGAGTTTGAGAGGGTTCGCACATCACGGATGCCTTGAGAACTGTGTATTGATAAGAACAGATGCCTGGCACTGCTGCTGTGAATACGCAGAAAACGGACATTGGAGTATCACAGACAGTTTGGAGTAGCTCAACCACCCGAGTCTGTAAATGCACAACACTTAAGACTTAACCAATGAACACTGTCAGATCTGTTGAAAGCTACCCACACCTCGTCAGGGAAGTGTGTTCCTCCCCAAGTATACTTTGCCAGATGAACCAAGTCAGTGGACGTCCATCCTCTTCGTCTTGCGCCGACTCCTCATGGCTTTGGCGCCTTTCTTTGTGCGCTTGCTGCCGGGGCTGGCGGTGGCGGAGCACTTTCGTGCGCCCTGTGTGCCATTGGATGTGGCGACGCCCTATCAGAGCACATGGAGTTGTTGCTTTGGAGGATGTTGGTCCAAGAAATATGTGGGTACATCATCCGAAGAAATGGATTCAAAATTAATGATGTAGTGATGTAGTAGTTTTTTTTGTTTGGTTCTGAAGGCCTTAACATTTTGGTGGGACTGTTGAGGGACTGTCCACTAACATTTGCCTAATTTTCGCTACACTGTTGCGGGTACTTTACGATATTTGATCTTTTGGGAGGACACGTAGGTTGGAGGCCATCGCTCTTAGGTTGGAGGCCATCGCTAGTAGGTTGGAGGCCATCGCTAGTATGTTTGCAGGCCATTGCTACTAACAGGGACAATTCTTGGAGCTACTTTTTTGTCAATGGCGGGAGAATTTATTTGGGATGTGGTAGACTTTTCTTGAATACATACCTTAATATTCCTGGTGCCTTTGGGTGGCTTTTGGCTTGTGTGGCTTGCTTTTGGGGAGGCGCTGCAACCTCACCTAACCCTGCAGCTTTTCAGGCAAAAAGCAAGGGCCATAGGCCAGACAAGTTTACACAAAGCTTTTCCGCGGACATTAGTTGTTTTACAGTGACAGCCTTTTCTAAGACACGATCATTCGTCTTTATGTGTTCTCCATTTCTGATCGTCGCACGGCGGAGCATGTCCTAGTTGTTTCATGCGGTTTCATGTGTTTTTGTCCTTTTCCTTTTGAAGCGGATTTTAGAAGACCCGGACAGAGCACCCAACGTCCCACAGCCGTGTCTTTCGCTCCTTCCCTCCCACACCCTACTTCGTTGTTGGAGGGTTTTGAGCCGGTCGAGTTCCATGTCTTCCATGTGGCAGGGAAGTGGTTCCGGGGGCGGGCCGTCTTTCAATCGAAAGACATAGAAAGACCGATCTTCCAACGTTTGGACCTACAAAATACTTAACTAAGGAGACCCCCAATGGACACACCATGGAGTGATGGAGACCATGGATTGACGCATACATTTCTGTCATACATTGCTTCATGTGGTCATCCAGGTTCTCACGGCTATATCTGAGAATCCCTCCAACCTGTTCTTTCGGCCTGAAGAGTTAAACGAGCAAAATCCGCCTCAGGTTTTGACAATTTGACCGATGGGTCTCCACAACACTGGACAGGCAAGTGCTGGACATGGGTCCTGGACAGCGGCTGGAAGACACTGCCTGGTATCACACATCAGGTGAAAGCCCTGGAAAATCCTGAGACTAGTACTTGGGCAACATTGGGCAACCCCAAGTTCTTTGCCCCAAGCACCACATGTTGCGAAGAAAGCCGAGGAGGAGGGAAGATTGCGGTCGACTCGTTGACGTCGTTGACTTGCAACTGCTTTGTTTTCATGGTGTCACCGGAGTCCCTGTCTCTGCTGTTCTTTGTTCATTTGTGTTTGGAGGGGGTACCATCAGCCATCTTCGTTTCCCAGAGTTGTCGTGGTGAAGTTTACAAGGAACAGTATGGATGTTTTCGTACCCGAGGGACATGGGACTCCCCGCGGTCGACTTAGGTGAACTGGAATACATAGACCAAGCATGACCAAGCTTTGTGTGTTGATGGACCACTCGTCTTTACAGGTCTTTACTCGGATTTCAACAACATTGAACAGCCATTGTTTTCATGGTCTTTACCAGACAACCATTGCTTTACTAAAAGGATTTGAGACTACAAATCCAGGTCAGCCTTCCTTTCAATTCATGGTCTTTGGAAGGATAGTCTCTTTCTGTAGAGGGGCTATTGTTCCATGATGGCATAAATGGTCCCATTTATACCCACATCCAAAAAGGAGACGGCACAGGCGACAGCCTCGACTGGGTCGGCCTCGTTCGAGTGGGCTCCACCGTGTACCGCTGGCTGGGGCGCCCCGTGATGGACTGGCGCGGGGACTGTTCGGGCGGGAATGGATGGTGACCACCACAGCAGACTCTAGTAGACTCTAGTGCTAGTGCTTTGCAACTTACCATCAGCTTTGCGGGATGTATATAGTCCCATGAAATGGATTGGGGGCACCCTCAAGAATGGTCCGGTCCTTATCGTTCCGACTTAACATCTTAACTTACGAGAGATGCCCCAGTGGTTTAAAGTTGGTGTCAAACTGGGGTTGGGTTCACTATGAGGATGCTAAAGGCTCTACGTCGTCGGTATTTTGGGCAGCCTTAACTTCACAGGAGTGCACGGAGTGCATGTCCACGCATTGGACCAAGCCATCCCCCCATGAGCTGTTGAACACCCCAAAGATGTGAAGTTGTACCAGACACAAAGTCAACTAGATTATATGTCAACTATGCATATCTATACTACTGTCTAATGACTTAGGCCAACGTGATGCAAGTGACATACCAATCTGGCTACCCCCAGGGCTAAGTCATGTGCCCTGACATATCGAGCAAAAAACATGTCTGGGTTGGGAAACCTGGTGTCATAGGACCTGTGGACACCTCCCGGACAAAAAAAATAAAAAAACAGCTAAATAATGCTAGATACCACTGCCTGGCACCCTGGTGACACAGTGGTGACATAGGGTGCGACTATGTGTTTTTGTGGGCGCTGCTTCCTTGAATACCTCATACATATTTCTATGAATATCATGGTTGTGGCCTGATGACATAGGCCTTAAGAGGAAATGCCAATGTTGGATCAATCCTGATGACATAGGCTTTTGGACTTGGCGTGTATGTCCGACAAGTCCTAAGTTACTAGTCAGTAGTATATGCATGTTAAATGTGTTTCTGAATGTGTCTGATGTTTCTGCCCATATCACGGGGTGGGTGTTGCACACACTTGTGGCAATGGGACAAGGCTAATAAGAGCGGAGGAGTGAGAGATGAGTTTTTGCTTCCGGAGCCAGTCATGGGCTCATGGAGCCGCCTTAAGAGTTCAGACACAGGAGATTTCTGGAAACTACGGTGAAATTCGATGGAATTCTGCGGCAGAATCGGACACAGAGAACAAGCATCCCACTGCATCTCCCCCTCTCGCAATGAGGGCGTATAAGATGTATAAGGAGGAACCTGTACTGGCATTAGCGAAGCATATAGATAGACTGTAGATTCTGGATGGTTCTCCGGGACCCCGAGCATGACACATCCAGGAGTTCTCTCAGCAGATGAGGAAAAACACCCCCTCCTCTCTCAAGTTCGATCATGTATCGTCAAAGAAGCCATGCGAGGTCTCCGGACACTTTTGGGACGTTGACGATGTGGACACGATTGGACATATCACTCGTCCGTTGGACATGAAGATGTGAAGGACTCGTCCGTTGGGAATCTCTTCGGACGAGTTACCTTCATTTCTCCCCAAGTCCGTTGGGCAGGACTTGCCCGCTGCGCAGCAGACGGCAGTGGACATTCGACCGACATTGACGCGCTATCATTTCCAGGCACAGGGCACCACCCAGCTACTTTTTGCTGCCATTTCTTCCACAGAAACCTGCATTGGGTACAATTGAGGAACCATTGAATCGATGGACCAGGGTCCGGATTGTCCACACTCACTTGCGGTCAGCCAATATACACTTCCAATTGAAGCGTTTGGAGAACAGTGGTTGCTATGTTTGCTCTTCAAGCAATAAAGCTCACAGAAGTTGTGCTTGCTTGCTTGCTTGCTTGCTTGCTCGCTTGCCTGCCTGCCTGCCTGCCTGCCTGCTTGCGCTTGCTTATGCTTGCCTATGCTTGCCTATGGTTGCTTAGGCTTGCTTAGGCTTGTTTAGGCTTGCTTGGGATTGTTTGTTTGTTGGCTTGTGTGTATGACTGATTGCTTATTTGCTTGTTCTTTTGTTTTGGCTTACTTGTTTGCCTTTTGAATCAATTGTGTTGATATTGTTTTGATATCGATAGCCTATCGACTATCGATGGCCTTTTTAGCTTGTTGATCCTTTTCAATATCCGTGGCAAGAGTTTCTGGGTGACACACCACACAGGAAAAGCAAGAAAAGCAGTGCATTTTTTGTCGCAGAACCTCAGGGGCTGAGAAATTCAGGTGGGCTCTGTGCAGCTGACCGTGGACTTCATGACTCCCTCCTTTGACCATGACAAGGTGTGGCGGGGATGAGCTCTGGACGGATTGTTTCATGGAACTGGCCAACTGTGTAGCTGCTGATTTTGTACAGCTGCTGCCATGGTGCAAAAGTTGTGGATGTGGTCCAGGCGACAAAAACACAGAAAACACCTGCAATGTCTCAAGAGAGTCAATCATTTGCTTTTCGGCAAAAAAAAAGACTTCGGCTGTCCGACCCAGGTCTTGGTCGTGGCGAGCTGTCCTATCACCACAGTCAACTTCACCATTACTGGCACGGATGATCCGGTCGAAGTCTATTTCGATCCTTGGATGTTCCAGAAAGAGGGTTCAAAGAACAAAATAAAAAGGACAATAAATAAAACATATAAAACGGATTAAAACGGCATGTTTCCCATCTGTATTGTGTAATCCCATCTGTATTGTGTACATTGTATGTATATTGTTTAGTATTGTATTGTATTATATGTTTCCAAAACACATTAAAAAGCAAACAGACTGTTTTCTTTCATTGAAAGAATGGAAA